ATACTTCCTAGGTGATACGTCAGAGTGCCCTACATCAGGAGACACCTGATGCCAGTTCTTCTTGAAGGGAATAATATACTGCTTGGTTAAGATGGTGTCTGCCAGATTTCTCCATTATAAAGGAGAAATTCTCCTTTTCCCTTTGTAATTAATAAGAAATCTGAACTATGTGAATATCGCATTCATTATGTTTTACTCAATGGTTTTAGCACATGGGGATGACTCAGTCTTGTCTGGGTCAGTTATTATTAGGGTAGATATAAATGACGATTTTCTATTACTGTCATTCCTTCTGCAATTATTATTTGGCTTCTTTTGGAAAGAAGAGCTTTTCCTCCCATTTTAAAAATTGATTTTTTTTTTAAGCATCAGGTGGACTCATGGATTCTTATTCTCAAATCACTGTTACAGCCCATTCTTGTCATTATTTTTATGCTCAAATTATCCCAAATTTGGCCAGTGAAATCCCCTTCAAGCTAGCTTTTTTTAAAAAAACTTTATTTGGTAATAATTTCAAACTGTTAGAAAATTGCACAGATAATAACAGTACAAAGGACCATCCATATATCCTTTATCCAGATTGACTTAACACTTTGTGCCATTTGCCTCATCATTGTGCGTTCTGTATACACACACAATACTTATTTTTTCTGAACCATTTAGGAGTAAGTTGCATACATTACCAGCTTTACCCTAAAATGCTACAGTGCGTATTTCCTAATAGGAATTTTCTCTTACATAACCAAGGTATTGTTATTAGCTTTAATAAATTCAATATTGATTTAATGTTTTTGTTTAATCTACCATCATATTCTGGTTTTGTTAATTGACCCAATCATATCCTTTTTAGTGTTTTCCTTCTAGAATGGGATCCAGTGTAGGAACAGGTATTGGTTTTAGGTAACAAGTCTTTCTAAACTCCTTTATTCTGGGATATTCCCATAGCTTGTCTTTTATGACATTGACATTTTTGAAGAAAAAGTCTCTTTCCTTCCCCTGCCCTTCCTTTCTAGAAGTNTCCCCCCAGGTTGGAAACTAGAGGTATATACATTGAAGCTTGAAAATAAAATAATTTCAAAGAAAGTGCTTTTCTTTTCATTACTGGAGGTATGAAAAAGGCAGCACGCTTAGTGGTTAAGAACATGGATCCAAGCTAGACTGTACTCCGTGCCTTAGTTTTGTCATCTGTATGTTACCAGCTTGTTCCTTTCCAATTAGCACTAACCCTTTGGTTTCTTCAAGTAATATGCAAAGTGAACTTTTAAAATGTGACTTAGTTGCTTATCAAAGCATCTAAAATAATTCTGTCTTTGTAAAATGACTTTTACACGATGTAGTGGAAAAAGCTCCAAACAAACAGTGGAATAAGATGACCTGGGTTCACATCTATTTTTGCTCAGTTTCCCTACCTGCAAAATGAAATGAAATAAAATGAAAACTATGTGGTTCTTTCCAGTTCTGTGATTCTTATTTTTAGGTTGTACTTTGCAGTAATTATTAACAATCACCTCCTAAAATAATGCTGTCATTTTATAAGATAAAAACTTACTAGACTTAAGGTCAAATGCATGAGCAGTTTTTCCAAGATGAACTCACATCAGTATAGAGTTCTTGACCTTCTTTTCTTACAAAGCTTGACTTGCCTCTTCTAGAAGTAGCTCCTGACTTAAAACACAGAACTTAAAAATACTCCCTTTTCTTAGTTATATCTCAACTGACTCTCCTTTCCTGCTGTGGCATCCTGTTTTCTGAAGTCAAACGTACCCGAACATACCTGTTCTGTTATTCATCTCACTTCTGAATCTTTTGTTTCACACTATTCCAGCAATAACTTGATTTCACAGGCCAAGCTGGTAAGAAAGTAAGCTTGCCAAGTTTGTATAATCAACTTTGNTCTCTCAGCTCTTTATATCAGATGGGGGGCTCCTAGCAGGCTGATTCAGTTTTCAGGCACAAATATTTTCTTCAAGGCACTAGCCCTAACGCAGCTCTGAAAGA